CGGGGAGGTGCCGGTGCTCAGCGCCCGCTGTGCCCGCAGCCCCCGGCCCGCGCCTGGTGCTGCAGGAGGCCAAGGTGCGGCTGATGGACGTGCAGCTGTGCAACAGCAGCCGCTGGTACGGGGGGGCCGTGCAGCCCCAGGACCTGTGCGCGGGGTACCCGCGGGGCGGCATCGACACCTGCCAGGTGGGGCTGGGCCCGGGCTGGGCACGGGGACCGCGAGCCGGGCACGGGGACCGCGAGCCGGGCACGGGGACCGCGGGACCGCCCGAGCCGGCACGGGGACCGCGAGCCGGGCACGGGGACCCCGGGACCCCGTGAGCTGGCATGGGGACCGCGGGACCCCCTGAGACAGCACAGGGACCCCGGGACCCCCCGAGCAGGCATAGGGACCCCAAGCCAGCACAGGGACCCCGGGACCCCCTGAGACAGCACAGGGACCCCGAGCCAGCACAGGGACCCCGAGCCGGGCACAGGGACCCCGGGACCCCCCGAGCCAGCACAGGGACCCCGGGACCCCCCAAGCCGGCACAGGGACCCCGAGCCGGCACAGGGACCCCGAGCCAGCACAGGGACCCCGGGACCCCCCGAGCCTGCACAGGGACCCCGGGACCCCCCAAGCCGGCACAGGGACCCCGAGCCAGCACAGGGACCCCGGGACCCCCCAAGCCGGCACAGGGACCCCGAGCCGGCACAGGGACCCCGAGCCGGGCACAGGGACCCCGGGACCCCCCGAGCTGGCACAGGGACCCCGAGCCCAGCACACCCTGGTACCCTCCGTGTCATCCCAGCCCCGTGTCCCCACCGCTGACAGCGTCCCTTCCCCATCCCCGTGTCCCTGCCCCGTGTCCCCTTGCCCCCAAGGCTGGCACTGTGCCCGCAGAGCCCACCCAGAGCTCCCGGCAGCCCCAGGTGTGGATATCCTGGCATCGCTGTTCCCTGCTGAGGCAGAACCTCCCCTGAGCCATCCCCATCCTGCTCCCAGTGAGGCTCTGGAGGCTCCAGCAGAGCTAGGGACGTGGCTGGGACAGAGGAACCAGCCCTGGCACAGCCCCTGACCCCTCTCTCCTGGCGCAGGGGGACATCGGGGGTCCCCTGGTGTGCAAGGACAAGACCCGTGACTACTTCTGGCTGGTGGGACTGGCCAGCTGGGGCAAGGGCTGCGCCGGGGCCAGGAGGCCTGGCATCTTCACCTCCACCCAGCGCTTCCACTCCTGGATCCGTGCCCACGCCGGCCCCAGCCCGACAGGGCCAGCACCAGCACCAAAGGCCACCCTGAACTCGCCGGAGCCTCCAGAACTGGTGCCACCAAAGCTGGAGCCACCAAAGCTGGAGCCACCAAAGCTGGAGCCACCAAAGCCAGAGCCATCAGCAGAGAGCAGCCACCCGTTCATGGACATTTCCTTCCCGAAGGAGACCCTGACGGGATTCCTCAGGAAGCTGCAGGAGGTGTTGGAGCTCCTGAAGAACAGGACAGGGTGAGCAGGAGGGCCGGCAGATGCAGTTTTGGCTGCAGAGGATCTCCAGCAGCCCCAGGTGGTGCCGTGGCGGCGGGGCCAGGCCAGCCCCGGTGCCCAGGGCTGCTGTGCCCTGCCCACGTCCCTGCCCTGAGCCCACCTCACCAAACCTCAAGTTGATTTAATCCTTGGATTAAAGTTTTGTTGTCCGTGGTGGGGGTTTAGGGATGGAATT